TGTCCTGGACATGTCCTGCACATGTCCGCGGCTCGCCCACCGCCCGCTCGCCTATGGAACATGTCCTAGAGGTGTCCTGGACATGTCCTGCACATGTCCGCGGCTCGCCCACCGCCCGCTCGCCGCTGCGGGCCGCGCCTGGCCGACGGTCCAGCGGTCGAGGGAGAGGCGGCGCGGCGGGGCGTCCCCCTCCTTGAGCGCCCACCGCTGCGCGCGATCCCGCTCGGGGGTCGACGGCGGCGAGACGAGGGCCGCGCCGTCGGCCGAGGCGGCGGCGCGCCCCCTGCCCCGGGCCACAGCAGGCTCCGCAGAGGCGGGCGACGGGGGCTCGTCGGGCGGCGGGGCGAGGCGCCGCTGGTCGCCGCGGGTGGGCAGGCCGGGCGGGAGGAGCGGGCGCGTCTGGACGAGCTGCACGGCGGCGGCCTGCGCGAGGGCGCGCTTCATGATGGACGCGTTTGCGAGCGAGCGCTCGTAGACCTCCTCCTCGACGCCGCGAGTGACGAGCATGACGACGCGGCCGGCGTTGCGGCGGCCGGTGCGGCCGAAGCGCTGCGTCTGGCGGATGGCGGAGGAGGAGACGTCGTAGCAGATGATCAGGTCCACCTCCCCGATGTCGAGCCCCTCCTCGCCTGTTCACAGCAGCAGGTGTGAAGAGACGCTGTTCACACCTCCCCGATGCCGAGCCCCTCCTCGCCGATGGAGGTCGCGACGAGGACGTTGTAGTTTCCCTGCCGGAAGGCGCGCACAACCTCGCGCTGCTGCGCCTGCGAGAGGCCCTTGCGAGTCTCGTCGCTGCCCTTGGCGCTCGCCTGGCCGACGAAGCGGAAGGCGCGCACGCCCTCCACCTTTGCGAGATGCGCCGTCAGCTCGACCACCGAGTCGCGCAGCGAAGTGAAGACCATCACGCGAGAGCCGGCCGGGTGCGCACCAAAGTGGTGCGAGAGCAGCGCGGCGGTGGCGGAGAGCTTGGGGTGAGAGCCCGCGGCCTCGCCCTCCGCGAGCTTGGAGAGCATCTCGTGGTACACCTCCGACTGGTACAGCTCCTGCGGCGCGGGCGGCGGGCGGCGGCTCAGGGCGAGGGGGGGGGAGGGGAGGGAGGGGGGGGGGAGGGGGAGAGGGGGAGGGGGAGGGGCTGCGTGGCCGTCTCGCGCGCGCCTCTCGCAGCTGGAGGCCCATCTTGCGCCTCCCGCCGCCCTCGCGCAGCAGCCGCCACTCCTCCATGTCGCGCCTAGAGGGAGGTTCCGAGACGGCTCCGACAAGGCTCCGACAAGGCTCCGAGCAGCCGCCGCTCCTCCGCCGGAAGTGGGCGATCGCCGACGAGCACCCGTGCGACGACGCGAGCTCGACGCCCTGCGCGACCATCATCGCCACCGTGAGGTGCGCCTGCGCGCGGTAGACGTGGTGCTGCTCCATGCCGGCGGGCGGCGCGGCGGCGAGCTCCTTCTGCTTGGTGAGCAGCGAGTAGCGGCGCACCTTTGAAGGGTCGTCCCCCACCCCGACGCCGCTCTCGCGCAGCTTGCGGAGAAGGGCGCGGTAGGCTTCGAGCGCCGCGGCCCGCCCCGCCAGGTACTCGGCCGTCGGCTGCACCACCACCTTGTCCATCTGACGCGACTTGAGGCAGCCGACCACGTCGACCGACTGCTCGTCGCGCGCCTCGATGCGCGAGATGCGCAGGTTGCTCACCACCTCCTGCATCCGCTCCGCGTTGGAGCCCGGCGTGGCGGAGAGCGCGAGCACGCGGAAGCCGGCCGAGCGGCGGCCGAGCAGCCGCGCCGCCTGCACGTACGAGTGGTTGCTGGTCGCCTTGTGCGCCTCGTCGACCACGAGGCACACCACGTCCTCGCCCGGGCAGACGCCCGTCTTGAGGTCGTTGACGAACGTCTGCGCCGTCAGGAAGAGGAAGCGCGCAAAGCGCCACACCCTCCGCCGGTCCTCTGCCGCCATCTGCCCCGTCAGCTCGGCGCAGAGCTCGCGCGGCAGGCCGACCGACTTGCGGACGGCGCCCACCTGCTGGTGCACGAGCGGCTTGGTCGGCGCGAGAAAGACGCACCGGCCGGCGGGGAACCAGCGCGAGAAGTTGTACATCACCGCCGCCGCGATGAGCGTCTTGCCCATCCCGGTCGGCAGGCAGACCAGCGTGTTGTGCAGCAGCGCCGTCTTTGTGATCGAGTGCTGGTACGGACGAACCGGCATGTTGGTCGGGTACACCCAGCTCGCGGCGGCTGCCTCGTCCACGGGGACCGGAGGGGGAAGATCTGCACCGTCCGCGTCGTCCGCCGGGATCTCGGCTGCGTCCTCCGGCCCGATGCCAAGGCACTCCAAACGACCAGCACGCACGGCGGCTGCCAGCGGCTGGCCGCCACTGCGCACTGGACCGGAGCTGGCCGCGTGCGGCTGTCGCCGCGGCTGATGGGAAGGACCTGCTCCGACCGCCGGACCCGGCGGCGGAGGCGGCCGGGCGGTGGTGCTCGCGGTGGCCGCTCCAGGGAAGAAGGAGCGGATGTCCCTGGCGGGCTGACGCTCGGCCAGAGCCTCCATTTCGAACTGGTTGCGTTTTCTTTTTAGGAAAGGTCGAAAGAATTCTTAAAATATAACGCACGGGCCCTCAGCGGAGCTGGGAAGAGGACCGCCGCAAGCGGCGTGGCGTGGAGCGGTTGTGCATCCCTCCGGGGGCCCCTCTGCGCCGGGGAGGCGTTGTTGGAGGCTAGGACGCAAGCGTCCGTCGCCCTTTTCAAACTCGGGGCCCACTCCGCTACGCTCCGACCCGAATTTGGAGGGCCTGAAAAGTTTAAGGTGTTGCTGCGCAAAAGGGGGAACCGCGGCAGAGTAATTGCGTCTGCGCGGGTAAAGCCCTTTTGCGCGGTATTAACGCACACACCGCGACAGCCCCGCAAGGCGCGCGATACACACAGCTAGAAGTCAGTCACCGTCCTCAGGCGGGGGGTCACAGAACACCGAGTCCATAAAGCTAAGCTCCTCCTTGCCTTCAGGCTCAGGAAGCTGCATCGACACCGGCCCATCAGCGGTTAGAGGGGGGAGATCTAGAGGATCATCTGAGCTGGAGCTAGCGGCGGCGGCCGAGCTAGCGGCGGCGGCCGGGGTGCGAACCGGCGGCATCACTGATTCAGGCTTGAACCCGGGCTGCTGGTAGGGCAGAATGATGCCGTTGGCAGCGGCGCGCTCCTCAGCCCAAGACAGGAGCTCTTCAAAGCGGTTGACTCGGGGCAGTAGGGCAGCTATGGGCACATGATCTCTAACCCCAAAAAGCCATGTGCCCTCGTCTGGGCGCCTGAAGATGGAAAAGGAGCCAGTCGGGTTGCTAGCGTGCACATCTGGTAGCTGTGTGTAGCCGGCGACAACACGCGGCGGTGGCGGCAGCGGTGGTGGCGTTGGCAGCGGCGATGGTGGAGGCACAGGACCGCACTCACTGTCCCACCGCCATCCGGTCGGAAGCTGGTAGTCGCCCCGCATCTCGACTACCCGCAGTGCAGCATCCAAAGGCGTCTGAAAAAAGTCGAGGTTCTCTCTGAGATGAGCTGCCACAGCTGTCACAGCGATGGGATCACCCTCACTGGCCCTCAGTCACTTGTGCTGCGGCTTGTGTGAGCGACTCTGCTCGGCGACTGCTGACACACTGTGAGACCATGGGTGTGAGGCTAAACCACGGTACCAGCGCTTGGTCACATCGGCCCTGAGGTCAGATCCAACATCCATCTACTCTGTTGATGACAAGACTCGTCTACTGGCTGGAGCCGAGCAGGAGGGCCCAGCGCACAACCCCTGGTCAACTCTGAGGGTCCAATCTCCAAACTGTCCACACCCCGTATAGTGTGCTCTACGGCTTTAGCACGCGCCACTCCGCACCTGTGTCGAGCCTGTCTGTTGCGAGAGAGAGAGTTCCTGAGGGAGGGTGTAGAGGATGTAGAGTGTAGAGCGCTGTAGAGCTGTAGAGATGTAGAGTGCTGGAGAGCGCTGTAGAGCTGTAGAGCTCTACATCCGCCGCGTGACGAGGCGCCTGCGTTGTAGAGCGATGTAGAGGCGCTCTACAACGTGAAATCTCTACAACAAACTCTACATCATAAGCGGCGAACGAGGCACGGTCGCTCTCCGACATGAGGCGCGTTGCACTTGCCAGTGCTGCCCTGGCCTTCTGTCTACCCGCCCAATGGGTGGCAGGTGCCTCTGCTGCTATGGCATGCCTCACGGCTGCGACTGGCCGGCGCCTCGGCGCGTCAGCTCGGCTCGGCGTAGCGATAGTGGCCAGCGCAACTCGCCTGGACTCAACGCTCAGCCAGGAGCTCCCGCACGCGCTGGCGCGAGTCATGGCGCATGCAACGCGTCTGAATGCTCGCCTCGCCTCGCGCAAATGCGACCGTCCTCGCAGCCGACAGTCCACCGCCTGCTAAAGAAGCACAGCGACGAATGCGGCACCGGCGACACATGGCAGGCTGGTCATGACGCAGTTATAGGGTGTTGTGTGCCGTCAGAGGGACTCTCTGTGTGTCAGGGATAGTCAGGGCTGTCCATCAGAGCTTCACTAAGCTCGGAGACACCCCATTAGCGCGGCTCGACCTCTTTGAGTCACTGCCTTCCCGGCGGTTTGGCTGTAGAGCCTCTACAACAAACTCTACAACAAAATCGCGCTCTACATCGCTCTACAACGCAGGCGCCTCGTCACGCGGCGGATGTAGAGCTCTACAGCTCTACAGCGCTCTACATCTCTACAGCTCTACAGCGCTCTACACTCTACATCCTCTACACCCTCCCTCAGGAGAGTTCTTTCGTTAAATGCCCTTGATGCACCCGTTAAATGCCCTTGATGCACCCGACGCACACACTCTGTTGGAGACCAGGTGGTGAGGTGGTCGAACGATCGTGTGTTTGACGTCATGTTCACTCCCTTTGTTCTCTTCTCATAAAATCGGAGGGTCGGCCCACGGGGGGACTTCGTGAACTGAAGCGACCCAACGATTTTATGAGTGGCAGCAAAGGGAGTGCGTCATCGAGTCGAGCTCAAAGAAAACCCCCACCTCAGCGTAATCACAACCGCCTCGCAACCGCCTCGTTTGCAGGTGCATGAATGCCTCTCGCCTCGCCCCTCGCCCGGCGCGACGCAGCTGCCCCCGCGCGTGCGCTCTCGCCTCGCCCCACAACCACCACTGCAGCGAGCCCGTGCACGCCGTGCTGCGACCGCCGCACGAGCGGCTCCGAGGATCGAGCGCCGCGAATCTGACAATCGGATTGCCGGTCGTAGCGCTGCTCAGCGCGCGGCCGCGGGTCGCATCCATGCCTACTGCGCCCTCGCGACCCCCAAAACGAGCCCGCGCCATGCTCATCCCATTTTATGCTGCTGACGCTCGCCGCCTGCGCCCTCGCAGATCCAAAACAACGTGGGCGAGACGGGCGTGCCGCGGTGTTTTTGGTGCTGGGCCTCAAGTCGTGTGCGCTGCGAGTAGGTGCGGCCCTCTTGAGCCCCCCTCCCTCGTGATTCCCCCTCAAAGACGCTCTCAAAGCCAGAGAGAGGCAGCACTAGTGGCCCGGAACACGATGTGCAGCAATCAGAGCAGGAGATTAGCCGAGATTGCCGAGATTCAGCCAAGATTTCGTCAATTAACATATTAACGGAACTTTGACGAAATTCGTGGGAATGCGCTGGGGCATCATTGCGAGTTGACTTAATTGACGAGACCATCCGAGATTTCGTCAATTAGCATAATTAATTGCCCGAAGTTACCCGAGATCGCTTCCGAGACCGGCATGGCACTTCCGCACCTCTTTGTGGAGGCGCTCTATCGCTCATTCTGATGCGCCACCCGAGATTGCCCGAGATTGTTCTCAAGTCTCGTTAAATAGCATAATAATTAATTACGAAATTTGACCTAATATGGAGCACCCCCCCCCTCCCCCCCGCCCGTGAATATCACACACCCGCCATCCACCGCCCCCTATCGTAGGTACGATTGAACTCGATCATCAACATGTCAGAGAACAAGACGGAAGTGAAGGCCCGCATCATGCCGGCCGAAGACGGCAGCATCAAGGTCGTCTTCTTCTCCGCGCCGACGTCGCCTCCGCTCCTCGGGGCCAAGGCGGTGCGTGTGCGCGTGTCGCAGATCTCCACTCTCCTCCCACCACGCTCCCCATTCTACCTCGCCGACAGGCGAGCGGCGCCAAGAACGCACCCGCTGAGGACGTCACCGTGGCCGAGTCCGGCGCCGAGGCGCCCCTCGACGAGAGCATCCTCAAGAAAGACCTGGCCGCGGAGACGGTCGACTCGGACCGGGCCAAGGCCATGTTTGCCGCCCACAAGCCGAGCGCGGACGCCGTTTTCTGGTCCAAGCTTGCGCGCTCGACCGACCCACCGGCTGCCCCCAACGTCGTCACAACAAACGAGCCGGTTCTCAAGCCGGTCATCGAAGACGCGCCGGCTCTCGAGCCGGTCACCGCCGGCGGCGCGCCGCTGCCGTCGATCAAGGAGTTTCCAGAGGAGACGGCCGCCCCGGCGGTGAGCACACGCGGGTAGGACTACAGGTGGGTACTTGCATTGCCCTGTGACCTCTCGCCTGCCGTCTGTCGCGCGCAGGGCATCGACGAGTGGAAGACCCCCTTCCCGCGCCACAAGGGCGAGCGCAAGGGCGAGCCCAACCTCGTCGACCGCTCCAAGAACACCACCCCGACCGGCCGCATCGACCCCAACAGCTTCGCCCTGCTCGGAACGGACGGCAACGAGGTCCTCGGCGGCGTTAGCTCCGGCAAGGCGCGCGGCGGCTCCAAGCCGTCGATCACGCCCGTGTCGGCGCGTGCTCCCTTGCTGTTTCGGCGCATCCTGCTCGTGACTAACCCTGTGTTCGGCCGCAGGCCGTCACACCCAACACGCCGGAGGTCGCCGTCACGCCCAACCCGCCGGAGGTCTCTGTCTCCGCCTCCGGTTGGTTCTGCTGGCCCAACCTGCTCTGCTTCCTCACCCTCATCGCGCTGGTGCTGAGCAGCGCAGCCGTCGCTTACTCACCGCACGATTCTCGCGGCCTCGTCGCAACTTGGAACGTGATGCCCAACGTGACCGCGCTCGACTCGATGCCCGAGCCCAACTCGGGGCTACTCTTCGCCTCGCCCGATCGCCACCCAACCTTTGCGCCTCGCCCGACCCCGCCCGTGTCCAACCCGGTTGACGACCCAAACTGGCTCGTCGCTGCCTCGGGCTTCTGCTCCGACCTGTCCTCCACGCCGGTCGCGGGTGGCGCGAGCATCGACTTCAAGTTCCACCCCGAGGTGTCGGTCGCCTTCACCGACGCCCCGTTCCACCAGGCCGCCTCGCTCGAGGACGGCATCGAGATTCGCGGCGAGGAGTACAGCCAGACCGACGTGCTCGCCGCAGGCACATGGACCAACAAGAACATCGCGCTTCTCGAGCCGACCTCCTCCTGCGACGACCCGCCCGCCGGGTCGCAGGACGAGTGGGCCGTGAGCGTCTTCATGGTGACCGGCAACGAGGCGTGCGGCGACGAGTGCGTGCACTTCTCCGGCCTCGTCTCGGGCGC